CGAGTTGATAAAAATTACACCCAAATAGGTCTGGACCATTCATTAATGGTGTTAGGCTAATCATATAGTACAACTGACTATTGTAATAATGGGACTAGGATGAACGATAATAGTTCAACTAGTCAATGGTTTTATCCTACCCTGTTGTGGGTTGGCAATTAGTAAATATTATACTGTGATCACTAGTGCAATATATATTAAATAATTCTCTATTTTAGAGAAATAATATACACAATTATTGATATAGCCTCTTAATTAGCCTCTATGAAACTTCTAATATTATCTAGAAGTATTAAATATTATTAGTGACCTCGCGAAATAAAGTCCACAAAATTCGTAGATAATCTCTCGCGAAATGTAACACCACGAAATCCGTGAACAATCTCGCGAAGACACAGTCACTAATTTGGCTGGATTCTATATTAGCGCTGTCATTTCACGAAATAACACGCCACCAAATATCTGTGGGTGTGCATGAAACCGCTGACGAAGCTGAACTGGGCTGAGGGAGGCTCCTGAGCTCCCACGAGGCAACGCCGCTGTCTATGACTGGCTGGCTTTGTTTAAATAACATTGCACTAGTTTATTTAATGAATCCACTGGTTAACTGGTTCATCCGGTACTAAGATGACCAATGTGGGTTCAAAGGACCGAATATTCCGGTTCCGAAGGTCCAAATAATTCGGTTTCGAAGGACCAAAATAATGTGGGAACCGACCTGTGAGATTTATATTTATTTAATTTATATGAATTTATATTTACGTTAATTTATATACTTCGATAGCAATTTGTATAATGATAGTGGACTGTATTTCTGCAATAATCTCTTAATCTCACAAATCGATCCTCTACACATTAGGGGGGTTTATTATATATATATGCAGCCAATCAAACTACAAAATTAACTACATACATTGAAGAGGTTCCTTATCTTATAGTACAGCAGGTTAGTCCACCAGGTATAACTAGGTGTAGACACCAAATTATCCTCTTTGAGGCAGCTTCCATCACCCAGTAACTGGTGCACAAAATCTTGCATCCTCGTCTTGACCTTTAGTTTGAGGCGATTTCGCGATCTAACCGGTCACCCTATATCCTGACATTAATGGCCATAAATGAATGATAAACGGGTTTCGGATAGACTTAACTTGAATTTGTAGACAGCGTGTTGACAATGGTACACCTTTGGCTTCCATAACACTACGTCCAAGTAAATTTAACAGGAGCCGAATTTGCTCCCGTGTGAGCCTCTGGTCTCAATATACAATGGCTGCCCCCTTCCTCCCTGACGCCTGGCCTACTTTGTCCAGATTTCAGAAAGTGATAGAAGGGTCACATTTACTCTACTTTAATATTGATAATTAAGTTAATTTATATAAGATGTTTTTATGATGGTAAAGTCCAAAGACTAATGTATTTAAGAACAATTCCCAGCTGAATAGCTGGTGAATTATATAGTATGTGGTGATGATATCCCGTTTTCTATAGACGGTAATTCCACTACAAGTTACGTTTTCTATGGTACTTGTTGGTAATACAGCTACAGGGTGAGGACACACACTGACAGTGAGGGGCAGGGTGAGGACACTGACAGTGAGGGGCAGGGTGAGGACACTGACAGTGGTGAGGGGGGCAGGGTGAGGACACTGACAGTGAGGGCCAGGGTGAGGACACTGACAGTGAGGGGCAGGGTGAGGACACTGACAGTGAGGGGCAGGGTGAGGACACTGACAGTGAGGGGCAGGGTGAGGACACTGACAGTGAGGGGCAGGGTGAGGACACTGACAGTGAGGGGCAGAGTGAGGACACTGACAGTGAGGGCCAGGGTGAGGACACTGACAGTGAGGGGCAGGGTGAGGACACTGACAGTGAGGGGCAGGGTGAGGACACTGACAGTGAGGGGTGTGAGGGACAGAGGAAGTGCTATCTGTCCGTTATCCCACCGGAAGTTTCCTGATTGGTCCTCACTGCTGCTCCGCCCTCCCTCCCTCCCTCCTCTCGCCCTCTCTCCTTCCTCTCGCCTTCCCTCCCTCCCTCTCCCCCTCCCTCCCTCTCCCTCTCCCTCCCTCCCCCTCCCTCCCTCTCCCCCTCCCTCCCCCTCCCCCTCCTCCCCCTCCCCCTCCCTCCCCCCCCCTTCACCGTCCATCCCCTCCGTTCCCCTCTTCACCTGAGTGAAGGGGGGAATGGAAGGGAAGAGAGGAATGCGCATTTGAAATTGATGAATGCGTCTTTGGGGTCGACCGCTGGATAGAATGGACTTCAACCTGTCCTCGACCCAAGTCCATTCCATCCAGCGGTCGACCCCACAGACGCATTCATCAATTTTATCATTGTGTTCATTCAAAACAGGAATTTTCTCAAATACAATAATAGTATATTGTGTATATATAGGCATAGGTTAGGTTAGGTTAGGTTAGTTGTTTTTTTTAAATTTTGCCCCGATGGGCGAGTTTATTGGGCAGCGTCACTCATCCTGTGAGTGGACACACCGCCATAGTGACAGTATTGTGCAGCGCTACTCATCCTGTGAGTGGACACACCGCCATAGTGACAGTATTGGGCAGCGTCACTCATCCTGTGAGTGGACACACCGCCATAGTGACAGTATTGCCATAGTGCAGCGCCACTCATCCTGTGAGTGGACACACCGCCATAGTGACAGTATTGGGCAGCGCCACTCATCCTGTGAGTGGACACACCGCCATAGTGACAGTATTGGGCAGCGCCACTCATCCTGTGAGTGGACACACCGCCATAGTGACAGTATTGGGCAGCGCTACTCATCCTGTGAGTGGACACACCGCCATAGTGACAGTATTGAGCAGCGCCACTCATCCTGTGAGTGGACACACCGCCATAGTGACAGTATTGGGCAGCGCCACTCATCCTGTGAGTGGACACACCGCCATAGTGACAGTATTGGGCAGCGCCACTCATCCTGTGAGTGTACACACCGCCATAGTGACAGTATTGGGCAGCGCCACTCATCCTGTGAGTGGACACACCGCCATAGTGACAGTATTGGGCAGCGTCACTCATCCTGTGAGTGGACACACCGCCATAGTGACAGTATTGAGCAGCGCCACTCATCCTGTGAGTGGACACACCGCCATAGTGACAGTATTGGGCAGCGCCACTCATCCTGTGAGTGGACACACCGCCATAGTGACAGTATTGGGCAGCGCCACTCATCCTGTGAGTGGACACACCGCCATAGTGACAGTATTGGGCAGCGCCACTCATCCTGTGAGTGGACACACCGCCATAGTGACAGTATTGAGCAGCGCCACTCATCCTGTGAGTGGACACACCGCCATAGTGACAGTACTGGGCAGCGCCACTCATCCTGTGAGTGGACACACCGCCATAGTGACAATATTGGGCAGCGCCACTCATCCTGTGAGTGGACACACCGCCATAGTGACAGTATTGAGCAGCGCCACTCATCCTGTGAGTGGACACACCGCCATAGTGACAGTATTGGGCAGCGCCACTCATCCTGTGAGTGGACACACCGCCATAGTGACAGTATTGGGCAGCGCCACTCATCCTGTGAGTGGACACACCGCCATAGTGACAGTACTGGGCAGCGCCACTCATCCTGTGAGTGGACACACCGCCAAAGTGACAGTATTGGGCAGCGTCACTCATCCTGTGAGTGGACACACCGCCATAGTGACAGTATTGGGCAGCGCCACTCATCCTGTGAGTGGACACACCGCCATAGTGACAGTATTGGGCAGCGCCACTCATCCTGTGAGTGGACACACCGCCATAGTGACAGTATTGGGCAGCGCCACTCATCCTGTGAGTAGACACACCGCCATAGTGACAGTACTGGGCAGCGCCACTCATCCTGTGAGTGGACACACCGCCATAGTGACAGTACTGGGCAGCGCCACTCATCCTGTGAGTGGACACACCGCCATAGTGACAGTATTGGGCAGCGTCACTCATCCTGTGAGTGGACACACCGCCATAGTGACAGTACTGGGCAGCGCCACTCATCCTGTGAGTGGACACACCGCCATAGTGACAGTATTGGGCAGCGCTACTCATACTGTGAGTGGACACACCGCCATAGTGACAGTATTGGGCAGCGCCACTCATCCTGTGAGTGGACACACCGCCATAGTGACAGTATTGGGCAGCGCCACTCATCCTGTGAGTGGACACACCGCCATAGTGACAGTATTGGGCAGCGCCACTCATCCTGTGAGTGGACACACCGCCATAGTGACAGTATTGGGCAGCGCCACTCATCCTGTGAGTGGACACACCGCCATAGTGACAGTATTGGGCAGCGCCACTCATCCTGTGAGTGGACACACCGCCATAGTGACAGTATTGGGCAGCGCCACTCATCCTGTGAGTGGACACACCGCCATAGCAGTATGTACAACACTCCCCAATAGGAAGAAAACCCGCTGGGGGTCTTCGTCCTGTTAGGTTAGGTGTTTAGGTTCTGTTGGCGATTATTTGTATTTGTAGTACGTGGGTGATGAAGCATTTACAGCGTTGTGGTTCGAACACCAGTCGTCAGTGAAGCACTTGTTTCGGAAGTGTTCGAACGTCATCAGTTGAGTCGTGTGTAAACCGTTTTTGATTCATAAACGGAGAGTTTGGCGGGTGGATGTCATCACTTTTGGGTCTTTGTTTGGAGGACGTTGGAACACTTCCGGAACAAGTGCTTCACTGACGAATTTTGTTTGACCCACAGTTCTATAAATGCTTCACCCCCATGTACCACAAATACAAATAATCGCCAACATAACTTAAACACCTAACCTATGCCTAACTTTCCATAGTATTTTAATGTATAATATTTGAGACCAAACCAATGTTTAATACACAGTATGTTAAAATTGATGAATGCGTCTGGGGAGGACGGGCGCTGCTTTAACGAGCCTAGTGCGAGGGCGGGAGCGGAGCACGTGGCGTGGCGCCGGCCGGCGTGGCCCCCAGCCACAATCAGAGAGCGGACGGGTGCCGGCACACCTGTGCTACCTGGCCTCCCTCAGTCACTCCTCCCCGCGCCTCCCCGCCACACTACACCTCCCCGGCGGCACCACCCCTCGCCGCCACCCAGTGTAACACTAGAGGCGGTGTGCGTGTGTACTCCTGACCCAGCACCACGCTGTCATCACTGATGAACCTTTACTGAAGACCAGAGTGGGAGTTTAGGAGGAGCGCCGTGCTGCTGCTGCTGCCCTACACTACCTCAGTGTGCACTGTCTTACCCAGTGACGCCTCCTCCATGCTTACTGCTCCTGCTGCTGCCTTCCTCACCTGCCCTCCCTGGCCTGCCCTCCCTGGCCTGCCCTCCTCCCTCAGTGAGGAGCCCTCTGTGGCCTAAGTGTCCCAGCCCTCGCCCTTGGACGCCATCACCAGCACCATCCACCACAAGGATGGACCACCCTGGCAGACACCCACGTGGCTGGACGTGGTGACCCGGTCAACACTTGGCGAGGGTCACCATGTGTGAGGGGGACAACACTTAGGTGTGACACGGGGTGAGGCAGTGGACCAGGACTGTGAACACCTTCCCCTGGTGTGTAGTGTGGGGTGGACCAGGACTGTGAACACCTTCCCCCTGGTGTGTAGTGTGGGGTGGACCAGGACTGTGAACACCTTCCCCTGGTGTGTAGTGTGAGGTGGACCAGGACTGTGAACACCTTCCCCTGGTGTGTAGTGTGGGGTGGACCAGGACTGTGAACACCTTCCCCTGGTGTGTAGTGTGGGGTGGACCAGGACTGTGAACACCTTCCCCTGGTGTGTAGTGTGAGGTGGACCAGGACTGTGAACACCTTCCCCTGGTGTGTAGTGTGAGGTGGACCAGGACTGTGAACACCTTCCCCTGGTGTGTAGTGTGAGGTGGACCAGGACTGTGAAGACCTTCCCCTGGTGTGTAGTGTGGGGTGGACCAGGACTGTGAACACCTTCCCCTGGTGTGTAGTGTGGGGTGGACCAGGACTGTGAACACCTTCCCCTGGTGTGTAGTGTGAGGTGGACCAGGACTGTGAACACCTTCCCCTGGTGTCTAGTGTGAGGTGGACCAGGACTGTGAAGACCTTCCCCTGGTGTGTAGTGTGGGGTGGACCAGGACTGTGAAGACCTTCCCCTGGTGTGTAGTGTGGGGTGGACCAGGACTGTGAACACCTTCCCCTGGTGTGTAGTGTGGGGTGGACCAGGACTGTGAACACCTTCCCCTGGTGTGTAGTGTGGGGTGGACCAGGACTGTGAACACCTTCCCCTGGTGTGTAGTGTGGGGTGGACCAGGACTGTGAACACCTTCCCCTGGTGTGTAGTGTGGGGTGGACCAGGACTGTGAACACCTTCCCCTGGTGTGTAGTGTGGGGTGGACCAGGACTGTGAACACCTTCCCCTGGTGTGTAGTGTGGGGTGGACCAGGACTGTGAACACCTTCCCCTGGTGTGTAGTGTGAGGTGGACCAGGACTGTGAAGACCTTCCCCTGGTGTGTAGTGTGGGGTGGACCAGGACTGTGATCACCTTCCCCTGGTGTGCAGTGTGCCAACACGCACAGGCAGCAAGACCATACTTGCTGCGTCTTCTCTTGTTTCTTGGCAACTGCGCTTTGTTGTGGAGTTTCTTGTCAACATTGCTTACTGTAAAACATTCTAAGAGCAAAGATTGGCGATATTGTTGAAAGTTCTCCAGTGATTGTTGAGAGCTTCCTGACCTTAGTGGCTGTGTCTTATCTCCCTGGCTCTATATCACTGCTGTCTCTTCACTTCTCACAAGGAAGGCACAATGTTTCTTAGTGCTGGAAGAAAGTCGTAGAACGTAAGTCTTTTAAATATTACCAACCGAAAGTAAATTATGTAGAGACTTTGAAAAAGGCAACTTGGCTGGTGAATACGATTATAGAACACTTAGCAATAATAAGACTATTGAGAGAAACTTGTCGTGTGCACTTGTGAGAAGCGTAAAGTGTTGTGAGAGATAAGACACTCTCAGGAAGAGGATTACCAGTGGTAATAGATAACGAGACAAATTACATACAATATCTTCAGTGTTGTATAACACATTGGCACGAAGTTATCACGTTTGTTTTAAGTGTGATAACCTCCAAAGTTACGGTTGGTCGTCAAGCTCCAAACGTGACCTCTCCCCGCCACTTGTGCTCCACTCCACTCAAGGCTTCGTCAATATAAACCTCACCTTACTAAGCAATGTTGAGTGCAACACACGCAACGACATCGTTGAAAAGTTGAACAAGTTTCACCCAAACGTTCACCTACTCCGCAAAAGCTGTTTTTATTATTATTATTGTGTGTGTCGGTGAGCCCCGGATATTTGGTGGTGGTTGACGTTGTCGTTGAAGTAAAGGCGGGAACTCTCAGACGTGGCTGTGACCTCTAGCAGCAATGTGTTGAGGCCAGAATGTGTTCGTCTGTGATCCTTAACATGTTCATGGAGGAGGAGGAAGACAAGGTCTCTCCGGAAGCCTCACCACAGACCCACGAGTCTGTCATGGAGATCTCCGACTCCTACTTGAATACTCCAGAGTCGTTCCTGGAGACTGGGCGCTCTAGGGTGGAGGGGTGTTACCCTCTCGTGGAGTGGCAGTGCACGCCTTCCCTGACCACCTCTCCTGCCACCACCTACCCTGCCACCACCCCTGCGCTACCTCTCTTCTCCCATCTCTTGTCAGGTATAGTACACACACACGCTTATCTTTCCCGCTTGACTTTAGCAGCTTGTGTGGTAATATCGTAGAGGACTGTTAAGACTCAGTGTAAGATATATCTGTTTACATTTACCGTTGTGTTGGGACCCGGTACTCACCAGATTGTGCTTGCCAGGGCTTGAGCTGCGGTTCTTTCGTCCCTCTTCTCGACCATCCGTTAACTGTTGTACAAATTGCTGAGTCGATTGGGCTTTATCATATGGGCATTTGCAAGTGTGAATGGAGTCTGCCTTCCTCCACATTGTAGGTAGTGGTGTGGTAGAGGCTGTGTGCATTAGTTAACTACACTCACACTGGAAATGTGTTTTCTGATGTTTGTGTACTGGGTTTCCACCAGAGTCCCCTTGTACATGTGCCCCCTGTCTTAATGTGTTAATCTACCCATGACAATTTAACTTTTTTCATATTTACATTTTTTGAGTCAATGTATTTGTATATACTTTTCTTCCAACTTCACAGTCCATTATAATGTATCTGAATTGCTAACAATACCAATACCATCTATCAGGTACCCACCAGCCCATCTATCAGGTACTCCACCAGCCCATCTATCAGGTACCCCACCAGCCCATCTATCAGGTACCCACCAGCCCATCTATCAGTTACCCACCAGCCCATCTATCAGTTACCCACCAGCCCATCTATCAGGTTCTCCACCAGCCCATCTATCTGGCGCCCCACCAGCCTTGGTTAGGGTAGTGTTGCCACTAGGCTGTTGAAGCCAAGTACGAAGCTTTCGGGTGTTGTAGGAGAGCCTCGTCTGACCTTCTCAGCACAGGAAGGAGGTCTGGCGGCAGGTACTGCCAACGGCCGCAGATGCAAGCAGGAAAGTGATATCACAAACGATGGGCTCCAAAGTCTGGTTATCGCTGGCCACGACTGAGCAACAGGCGCTGAAATACAAGTCTGGCATCCAGAAAAGTCTGGAACTCGCTGAAAGATTTGCACAAGATATTTACAATGCCAATAAAACAGGATGAATTCCATCTCTTCCCGAAATCACGAGAAGCAGAAGAGGCAACAGAGTAAGACAAAGTTCATTACTGCTACTTGGTTATCACCTGTTATCTTAGTTATCACCTGTTATATCCCTCTTACTTCTACCAGCTCTACCTTCGTACTTCAGAGACAGATGTGGGGGCCCACTTTGCTAGAGGTGGCAGCTCTGTGTATTAATGAAAATATTGTACTGTTCCCAAGACCAGCAAACGGTCGACTCTTAAGGCAAGCATCAGGACCACTGTTAATCAGTGGTAAAACTCTGCGAGCTTCAGTTATTAATTTTATTAGCAATAACTTGCTAGAGAGATGAGCGAGGCTTCAGAAATGGTCGTTCTGTTGCTTATCTTCTGTGGAACATATCAGCTGTGGGATAATATTCTGGGTGACTATGTAATCAGCTCTGTTGCACACTAACAGCTCCATTCAGAGCCGGAGAAATTGCTGACCTGGAGAGTGTGCAAAGATCCTTTACCGCTTGCATCCTTTCTATACTATCTAAATTATTGGGACCGATTATAAGTTCTAAATGTGTGTTCTCTAGAGCGTAGGCGGGAGAGATGCCTAATAATCTACACGTGGAAGATATTAGAGGAACTGGTCCCAAATCTGAACACAGATTACACCACACGAGACCAGACGGCATGGCAGGATGTGCAGAATACCCCCGTTGTAGAGCAGAGGTGCAACAGGTACTCTGAGAGAGAACTCTATCAACATCAGAGGCTCGAGACTGTTCAACACAACCGCTACACATAAGGGGCATAACTGGCCAGCCTCTCAGTGTTTAAGAGAGAACTCTACAAACACCTCCAAAGAATAATTGATCAATCAGGCTGTGATTCATAGGTCGAGCATAGCTTTGAGCAGCCACTTCCAATAGCCTGGTTGAACAGACGACCAACCAGGAGGCCTGGTCGGAGACCGGGCCGCGGGATTTTTTGATCCCCGGAACCTCCAAGGTAGACACAGAATAGATAAATGGTCTCGACAACCTTATTGTGGTTGCTCTCAATACTGTACTGTTAAGGGAAGCACTCGTGGACACCTTCAAGACAATTCTAGACTGTTTTCTTCAAGGAGTGCTGGACCAACCGGGCTGTGGTGGGTATGTGGGCCTGCGGGCCGCTCCAAGCAACAGCCTGGTGGACCAAACTCTCACAAGTCAAGCTTGGCCTTGGGGAGTAGAAGAACTCCCAGAACCCCATCAACCAGGTATCATTAGTCTAGTTAGATCATTAGACGCGGCACAGTCTTACTCGCAGTGTACCGGGTACTTCAGTATGCTGCTGGCTGGGTACCGGAGAGCACGTGCTGGGTTGGGTACCAGAGAGCGTGCGTGGCTGGGTACCGGAGAGCACACGCTGGGCTGGGTACCAGAGTGCGTGGGCCTGGGTACCGGAGCGCGCGCCCGGGGGCCTGGGTACCGGAGCGCGCGCCCGGGGGCCTGGGTACCGGAGCGCGCGCCCGGGGGCCTGGGTACCGGAGCGCGCGCCCGGGGGCCTGGGTACCGGAGCGCGCGCCCGGGGGCCTGGGTACCGGAGCGCGCGCCCGGGGGCCTGGGTACCGGAGGCGCGCGCCCGGGGGCCTGGGTACCGGAGCGCGCGCCCGGGGGCCTGGGTACCGGAGCGCGCGCCCGGGGGCCTGGGTACCGGAGCGCGCGCCCGGGGGCCTGGGTACCGGAGCGCGCGCCCGGGGGCCTGGGTACCGGAGCGCGCGCCCGGGGGCCTGGGTACCGGAGCGCGCGCCCGGGGGCCTGGGTACCGGAGCGCGCGCCCGGGGGCCTGGGTACGGGGGGAGCGCGCGCCCGGGGGCCTGGGTACCGGAGCGCGCGCCCGGGGGCCTGGGTACCGGACGGCCGGGGCGCGCGCCCGGGGGCCTGGGTACCGGAGCGCGCGCGCCGGGGGCCTGGGTACCGGAGCGCGCGCCCGGGGGCCTGGGTACCGGAGCGCGCGCCCGGGGGCCTGGGTACCGGAGCGCGCCGCCCGGGGGCCTGGTACCGGAGCGCGCGCCCGGGGGCCTGGGTACCGGAGCGCGCGCCCGGGGGCCTGGGTACCGGAGCGAGCGCGGGGGCCTGGGTACCGGAGCGCGCGCCCGGGGGCCTGGGTACCGGAGCGCGCGCCCGGGGGCCTGGGTAACGGAGCGCGAGCGCCTGGGGCTGGGGTACCGGAGCGCGCCGGGGGCCTGGGTACCGGAGCGCGAGCCCGGGGGGCCTGGGTACCGGAGCGCGCGCCCGGGGGCCTGGGTACCGGAGCGCGGGCCTGGGTACCGGAGCGCGGGCCTGGGTACCGGAGCGCGGGCCTGGGTACCGGAGCGCGGGCCTGGGTACCGGAGCGCGGGCCCTGGGTACCGGAGCGCGGGCCTGGGTACCGGAGCGGGGGCCTGGGTACCGGAGCGGGGGCCTGGGTAACGGAGAGGGGGGCCTGGGTACCGGAGCGGGGGCCTGGGTACCGGAGCGGGGGCCTGGGTACCGGAGCGGGGGCCTGGGTACCGGAGCGGGGGCCTGGGTACCGGAGCGGGGGCCTGGGTACCGGAGCGGGGGCCTGGGCACCGGAGCGGGGGCCTGGGCACCGGAGCGCGCGCCCGGGGGCTGGGCACCGGAGAGCGCGCGCCCGGGGGCTGGGTACGAGAGCGCTAGGCTAGAGGTGTGGTGTAGAGCGTGGCCCTGGGGATGGTTGGGGTACCAACAGTAGCGACGGTAGCAACGCTGGCAAGGTGGTGGACTGAACCAGGAGGAACCAGGCGCGCGATCCATACTTATAGAACATTTAGCGCCGTGTGTGTGTGTGTGTGTGTGTGTGTGTGTGTGTGTGTGGTGTGTGTGTGTGTGTGTGTGTGTGTGTGTGTGTGTGTTGTGAGCTTGTGCGCGCTCGGCTCCTCAAAGTGTGCTCGTCTAGTTTGTTCTTGTGGGACTGAGCTTCTGCTCTTGGGCCCCGCCTTTACCGTTGTCTGTCATCTAATGCAATTATACCCGACTCTCTAGATTATTGGAATTTACATTAACGGTTATCTACAATATGTACATTAAAGTTATCACAATATGTACATTAAAGTTCTACAATAGTACATTAAAGTTACCTACAATATGTACATTAAGTTACCTACAATATGTACATTAAAGTTATCTACATATGTACATTAAAGTTACCTACATACAATTGTACATTAAAGTTATCTACAATATGTACATTAAGTTACCTACAAAATGTACATTAAACTACCTACAATATGTACATTAAAGTTACCTACAATATGTACATTAAAGTTACCTACAATATGTACATTAAAGCTACCTACAATATGTAGAAATAGCTTACATATGTTGGCTTACATTCCTTATGGGTGAGCTGCCTGTGTGTGACCTCCCTCCGTGACCTCTCAATATGTACACGTGTCTTGTCCTTGTCTTCACCATCTTGTACATCATTATCGACACTCAAGGCTCTCAGAACTGTAGTGGGGTACAGCCCTAAATACGCTGTTAATATTAGAATAGCAAGAATGATGTTCTTAGCATATATTCGGTCTCTGATAGCCTATCATGCACCCGCTTTAGCCATGCAGAATGGCAAAACTATTGATAGACTGGAAAAAATGCAAATTGAAGCACTCAGAATTATACTTGGCTGTCCTATAACTACCAAAGTTCTCAACATGTGGAAATAATTATATATACTTAGAATTCCAGATTTATTTGATTGATTTATTTAGCATTCCATTTATTTGAAATAAATCTTATGATGGGACTAAAGCTTCTGCGTGATAATAAAAACAACATTGTGTCAGTTGAACTGTTAGAACACATACGAAATGGAACCAGCGAGTCTAAATGGATTCAAAGAACAGCCACTCATATTAAAATGATGGGACTGCACGATGTATATACAGATGAAAGAGTACAGCACTTCCTTCCACCCTGGCAGATAGTACCTTTTGACATCCTGACCCCTGCATACCCCACCAAG